CATCATATTTTTATGTTATTTTGTACTATTCACTACATTTTTATTTATTATTTTTCATTAAAATTAAAGATTTTTCTTTGAGATTTTTCGTTAGTTTTCTTTTGTTTTATTGATTTGTCTACCCTAAGATTCCAACCCTAGCATGGCAAACAACAAAGCTAGGTGCAATGGTATCAGCGGTGCTCCTGGTTTGCTTCGTTGTGGTGGCGGGGTTTGGTCAATATTCGGGGTGGTCATAATGGTGTTGCCATATAATGTTGGCGGTCGTAGTCTACTTGTTTGCTCGGGCCATCTTGTATAGTTAATGGGGCTTTTGTGCTCCTTACGCCATGTTGTAGTTTATTATTTTTTGTATCTTTACCTCTTTAATTAGATATGTAGTGTTGTATATTTCTTTCGCTAAAAAGTTAGAACGAGGATTCTCTTCAGATTCTCTTTGAACATTATGGGATCCTCCAATCACATCCGTTCATCGTAAATCGTGCGGTTAGTTTTTATCAGGTACTGTTTATATTTAATTTTAAATAAAAAGATTTACAATGATTTCTAGTTGTACAATATACAATGAACGAATGTGATTGAATAATCCTCATTCGAAAAGTTATATTTCAATTTCTTACCATGCCAATTTGTTGGGCTCCTAGGTTCTTATCTCTGTCATACTTTCTTCTATGAATGAAATTTTAGTTGGAAAAAAAAAAAAAAAAAAAAAAAAAAAAAAAACCGACAAGGCTAGGTTGTCGTTTGAGCATATATGCTGATGAATATCCCAAATAAACATTTTACAGGCAAAGATGCATTTTAAGTACAATTATTTGTGTTTTTATCCAAGTTTGGTGGTCTATATTTCATATATAAGAGTTGTTATAGTATATTCAAATGTCTCTAAACAACAACGTATTTGATACGTTGCAGACCACATCATATGACTCTCCAATATAAGAAATCTCTATCGAGCATCTCATATTTATCTGTATCGTCGGTCGAGTCTGTTTTGTCCACTTTCACCATCCCCAAAAAGGAAAGCGAGCTTGCCCATGTTCGATCCCTTCTTTCCGGGTAGTTCCCGATGAATACTTCAAATGTTTTTCCAAGATTCACTTATATTTTGACTAAGAAATAGGTTCACTAAAAACGTTTTTAATTATTTTAAAACACTTTCAAATGAGTCTGAAAACTTTAAATTATGAATCAAGAAGTTCTTGGATTATTGAAATGACATGATTATTATGTGTGTATAGAACGGTAATGTCAAAAATACCGATGATTTGATGAATATCATTAAGTGTCATTTAGCAACCAAACCTAATGACTATAAAATTTCAACATTTCCTTTTTTAGTTTAACATTGTATATGATACATTGCATGCCACCAACATTGTATGCTGCATGTGGCATGCGATGCTTATGCTTTTATTATATTCCAACCATTCTTTGTATGCAGCAACACAAATTTAAGAATACACTACAAGATAATTGAAAAGTTCGGTCATTCAGGAAAAAGAAAGTGACAATGCACAATTACATTAGAATTTTGATGTTGCAATTGAAAAATCAACCCTGTGGTTTTATTTATGCCTGATAAAAGAGTTGTAGATGCTCCGGTTAAAAACTACGATTACAAAACAAAGTGGCAAAAGAAAGGAAAACCTAGGATGACTTGGCAAAAGATTAAAAAAAAAAAAAAAAAAAAAAACACGGAGCACTCGAGACTAACGGAAAATTTAGCATAAAACCAAACATTGTGATATTTTAAGATTCATACAATCGATCTTATTAGTGTTATAACGCTTTGTTATTGTCTTCGACTCTGATGTAGTTTGGAGTTGGGTGATGATGTTGCTCTTTATAGTTTTTGCATGGGCAAATATTTAAACTCCACCGACAAAACGTCACAAAAGAGATAGGGAGATTACGCGTTGCTATGGTTGGGGAATTTAAAAGGGAAAAGACCAATTCCCATGGTTCACAGTCAAACACCAGAAAAGTCATATCACAAGCAAACGACCAAACCGACCATTTGTCTCCTTTTTTATTAATTATTGTTTTTTTTTTTTATCTCTTTTTAAGCATTTAAATGGGAATAAAATTATTGAAAAATATGGTATATTCTTTAGGATCTCAACTATCCTAATCCAATCCACACAAATATGACAACACGATCGAGTCATTTTTTAAAACGGCTAAAGCCGGAAATAGAGAATTCGAACTTAAAAAATCTTTTAAACTTTGAGAAAGGAACGTAACAGTCATTTAATATTACAATTTTAGATTTAAATATCGTTAATGGTGAATTTAATATCAAATTAGGTTACTCATTGTGTAGTTAGTTGCCCTGCTCTACATACAACTTTATATATTTGTTATCTCGGTACGTAATTTAGAAGGTTTTTGTGCAGTTGTTGTAGAAGTAGGATTATCTCCTCTCATATTCTCGTCTTTTTCCCTCCCCTCCTCTCTCACACATTATTTTTTGTCTTATTAGCTCTATAAAAAAATCAATATAAGATATCGACGTGATTTAACTGTAACAGTTCAAATAAGAAATGAAGAAAATGGAGATAGATTAGGAGGGAAGATAATTCTCTTCTGTTGTTGTAAAAGACAGTACCCATGTTTGGCAGAAGTCAATCTTTAGACGACCGAGAATGATTTGAAAACAAAAAATTCGTTTTGTGGGAATTGGGAACCAACAATTGGGTCAATTTGGATTCTTCCAAATTGCAACACAGTTCATGGCTTTCAAGCTCAGTAATAAGAACACGTTAATTTAGGTCATTAAATGGCTAGATAAACACGTACGTAGAGGTCAAATTAGAGAGGAACAAAACAAATGCAACGCTTCAAAGTCCAAAAGCTACGAAAGGCTAAAACGCGTATTTGGTGAAAGTTCACTAGCAAGAATGATTGATGTATAACTCTCTAAATAAAAAAAGTGTTTTACACAAAACAAGAGAGGGTGACGTCTCGATTTAAAATATAATAGACTATTTAGTTAAATGTTTTTGAAGATTAGCATAACATTTCACTTTGGTTTATGAGATTTAAAATCGATTGAACTAGTCCTTGAGTTTATTCACTGTCAATCATTTTGGTCATTCCTTGAAAAATCTTAGTTGAATAAGGAAAAATAACAAATTACCCTGAATTTTTGTTAATTATTTTGGCTTATTGTTTATTAAATTAAGAGTATTTTTGTCATTTTAATTCTTATTTAATAGAATTTTTTTTCACAGAAATACCAAAATAATTGACGGTATACAAACTCATGGACTATTTCTATCGATTACAAATCTCAAGAACTAAAATGATAAATTATGTCAATCTCAGAAATCATTTTTTTTTTCTTTAAAAAAAGACATTATTTTATTAAAACAAGACATTATAATGACAGTAAACCTCTTCTGCATAAGTTGATTCCTCTAGATATACATTTACATTTTGGCCAGAGTTAAAATAATAAAAAGAAAAAGAAAATAAATAAGATGATGGACATATTGCTTTTGCTTCATCAAGCCCAAAGACACGAGAGAAGAAGTGGCCCTGCAGCTGGAGACCTCGATCAGCCAAGAAAGGCCCAAAATTTAGGCCCATCACCAGAAACAATATCATTAACGAACTTTAAAAAAGGTTTTTATTGCCACGACGTTTTATTGTTGTACAAGTAAGTCCACTTACAATTGTAAAGTTTGTTACTCTTAACTAAGAGTTGTTATCGACGCTCCATAATAGTTATTACGCATTTCTCATTTATACAAACACAAGAAAATAACACATGCAAACACTACATCGATAATGTTTTTACAGAACTAATAACAATTCTAAATTAACACTCTTGTTATCATATAGAGTTACACACATTTCCAATAACAATTCTCTGGATTGTTTTATGCTTACACAAAGAGAAGAAATAAAAGAAACTGCATGAGAAAATATGTTGAAGGAGAGAGACGCACCTCATTAATATCGTTAATTGAATATACGCAAAGATAAGTTTTTCAAACTGTTATACCGTCACATGGTACTACCAATATATTCATATTATAACATGTTACAATTTACTAATGATCATTTGATAATCATTCCGTTTTCAATTTTTGCTTTTTTGAAAACTAAAATCTTATTAGGTCTACTACTTTCATTTTTCAGTTAAAAAAAAAAGTACTACAGTTTGGTGGTATTCCTCTTCACTTAGAAGTCAAAGATCTTAGGTTCGAATTTCATGGATGGCGAATTCGATACCAAATTAGGCTGCTTATTGTGTGGCTTAGCCGAACTCCCCCTTCTCTAGTAAAAATATCGATGTACTTAAAAAAAAAAAATTTAAATTTTGGCCCAAGTTTTAAATTTTAAAATTTTGGTGGTTTTCAGTTTTTATTTTTTTTTATTTTTTTATTTTTATTTTTAACTAAAAGTAGTTAAATTTTTTTTTTTAAGTTTTTAATTTTCAAAAATGTAAAAATTGAAAACAAATGAATATCAAAAAGTCATTAAACTTTTTTCATCTACTCATATTATAAAATTTTAACGCCGAGTGATATATAACTGCCAACGCAAGATTTATCGTTCATAGCTAGTGGCACCATAGAACAAATTGTTTGGCATGTCACAACACTTTTGGTTCTCCTTCTATTTCCAACAATTTTGGTTTTTCCTCAAAACAAGTATCAGATTTGTGTGTTCCAAATTAATCTAGGTTTCCTTCAAGAACAAACGAAAGCTAATTTCTTGTTTGTCAAGAAAGCTTAACTTAGTTTTCTTTTGGTACATTGATATTTTACACTAAGGAGTGGGAGAGTTTGACTTAGTCAGACAATGAGCAACCTAATTTGGTATCGAATTTACCATTAACAAGATTCGAAGGTAAAACCTCTCACTTCTAAATGAAAAAGAATACCACAAGACCATAACTATGCATTAAAACGAACTAATTGTTTTTATAATCCTATTCTATTTATGATTAAAAAAGAAAATCTCTAGCTTATAATTATTATTTTTTTGGGCGATTATTCCTTGCCAGCATGGAACACTCCACCCCAAAAAATCCCAGCATCTTCCTCTTCTTCCCCTTAACCCCAAGTCCCCGCAAAACCCCACCCAAACCCTAATTTCTGCCCCACATGAAGAAAATTCCAATCCAATTCAATCCCAATTACCTCAAATCCCACCAGAAAAGCCCCAATTTCTGGTTCTTCAATCATTAGATTTCCCTTGCCTCCGATGGCCACGCCTTATCAATCTTCAGTCTTCTCCCCAATTCCCTCCATGAACGACACTCTTTCTCCTCCGCCGTCCCCCGGCGACGGCGCCGATACCTACGAGGCCTGGTACGGCAACATCCAGTACCTCCTCAACATCTCCGCCATCGGCTCCTTCTTCTGCGTTTTCTTCTTCATATTTGTCAAGCTTCGCAGCGACCACCGCCGCATGCCCGGCCCGTCTGCCCTCGTCGCTAAGCTCCTCGCGGTGTGGCACGCCACGTGTCGTGAGATTGCGCGCCACTGTGGCGCTGACGCCGCCCAGTTTCTCTTGATCGAGGGCGGCAGCTGCGGGTTGCTGTTGTCCATGGCGGTTTTGGCTGTGCTTGTGATGCTTCCGCTGAATCTCTACGCTGGGAGTGCTGTGCTGGGGGATCAATTCTCGAAGACGACCATCAATCACATTGAGAAAGGTTCGGCTTTGCTTTGGGTGCATTTCGTTTTCGTGGTTGTTGTTGTTGTTCTTGTGCATTTTGGTATTTCTGCTATTGAAGGGAGATTGAGAATCACTAGGATTAGGGATGGGAATGGAAATTTGAGTGACCCGACTGTGAATTCCACGGCGATTTTTACTATAATGGTGCAGGGGATACCGAAAAACATAGGGAATGATGGGACTGTGCTGCATGAGTATTTTCAACATAGGTATCCTGGAAAGGTTTATAGGGTTATAATGCCGATGGATTTGTGTGCTTTGGATGAATTAGCCTCGGAATTAGTGAGGGTTAGGCATGAAATTTCTTGGTTGGTTGCCCGAATTGACTCTCGGCTCTTGCCGTATGAAAGTGAAGAGAGTGGATACGTAAGGACTTCTTCAGAGGGAGTATGGGGTTGTGCTTGTAATTTATGGCGAAAGGTGGAGGATTTCTGGTATCATACTATGGCTAGGTTGGGATACACCGATGAAAGGAAGTTAGGAAAGTTGCAGGGATGGAGAGCTGAATTGGAGACTGAACTGGCAGCTTACAAAGAAGGTCGTGCACTAGGTGCTGGAGTTGCGTTTGTGGTGTTTAAGGATGTGTACACTGCTAATAAAGCGGTTCAGGACTTTCGACATGAGAAGAAGAGGCGGATAGGGAAATTATTTTCTCTTGTGGAATTGCGTTTACAGAGAAACCAATGGAAAGTTGAGCAGGCACCCTTGGCCACAGATATTTATTGGAATCATTTGGGGTCGTCAAAGCTCTCACTGAAATTGCGAAGAGTGTTGGTGAACACATGCTTGTTGTTGATTCTTCTGTTCTTTAGCTCTCCTCTGGCAATTATCAGTGCTCTAAAAAATGCCTGGCGGATTATAAATGCGGAAGCTATGGATAATGCCCAGTTGTGGTTTGCTTGGGTGCAGAGCTCAAGCTGGCTCGGGAGTCTTATCTTTCAGTTTCTACCCAATGTGTTTATTTTTGTCAGCATGTATATGGTTATTCCATCAGCACTTTCATATCTCTCCAAGTTCGAGCGACATCTTACAGTGTCGGGGGAGCAACGAGCTGCTCTTCTTAAGATGGTTTGTTTCTTCCTGGTGAATCTTATACTTCTTAAGGGACTGGTTGAATCATCTTTAGAGAGTGCCATCTTAAAAATGGGAAGGTGCTATATGGATGGAGAAGATTGCAAGAGAATTGAGCAGTACATGAGTGCCTCGTTTTTGTCAAGATCGTGTCTTTCTTCTCTTGCATTCTTGATAACAAGTACATTCCTGGGCATATCTTATGATCTATTGGCTCCAATCCCTTGGATAAAAAGGAAGATTCAAAAGTTTCGGAAGAATGACATGCTACAGCTAGTCCCGGAACAAAGTGAAGAATACGCATTGGAAACTCAGGAAACAAATGGTCTAGAAAGGCCCTTGATTGTGGACAACACTTACGATTCTCCCAGAACTCTGCAGGGAAATGATCTCTCTGATTACCCAATCAACAGAACATCAACTGCCCCCAAACAGACATTCGATTTCGCCCAATATTATGCGTTCAATCTGACGATATTCGCCCTGACCTTCATATATTCTTCCTTCTCCCCACTTGTGGTTCCCGTTGGTGCTATTTATTTTGGGTATAGGTACGTGGTCGACAAGTACAACTTCCTCTTTGTCTATAGGGTCCGGGGCTTTCCTGCTGGGAATGATGGGAAGTTGATGGATACAGTTCTGTGCATCATGCGTTTTTGCGTCGATTTATTCCTGCTGGCAATGCTGTTGTTCTTTTCGGTCCACGGAGACTCAACGAAGCTGCAAGCTATATTCACACTTGGGGTATTAGTAATGTATAAATTGTTGCCTTCCCAGAATGACAGTCTTCATCCAGCACTTTTGGAAGGCGTACAAACTGTAGACAGTGTTGTGGATGGACCTATAGATTATGAGGTGTATTCACAGCCCAAGTTTGACTGGGATACATATTATTCATGATTCACCATCTGTTGACTTGTAACTTTGCACAGTAATACGTTTCTTAGATTGCCAGAATGAGGAGTGTGCCATTGCCCTTCTTTTCAGTGAGGACTTACCTACACCCGTCGCGGATTAAAAATTGATAACGCAATGCTATGTGAGAAAGTTAAGACACATGAAGTTGCGTTATTAATTTGGGACATCCCTGATTAAATTTTTTCGTTTTCTCATTGTTTTGTGTGAAGTTTGGAAAAGGATAAATTTGGTAAGATATCATTTTGTTGAGTGAATAAAGAGAAGTGTGGTGACCTAGAGTCCTTAGATCTAACTCTGGACTTAGAGCCCTTAGATCTACAATACTCCAGCACTTAGAGCCTTTAAATCTTACTCTGGAATTGGATCCAATGACTTTAAGTGCCGTGTATTGTAGCCTTTTTGTAACCACCGTAACTTTGATTCTGGTTACCATCACAACTTTTTTTCGACGAGGAAAATAAGAACTACAAAACAAACTCACGACGACAATCTAATTCCAGCCCGTCGATGCTAAAAGTTGGGAAAAGGACCGTAGGGATAAGACGCCCTCCAAACAACATGGAATTTTGCAATATGGTCATAAAAATTGGATGAGAAAAAGAATGGTTCAATATTATGGAGATAGAGCACCAAAAAATCCGTAGACAAAGAAGGGAAGTAGTGGAATATGAGGAGATCAAAAGCCAAGACTTACCCTAACTCCACTCTTGGCCAACCCTCTACTCCTCCCATACTTACACAGTTGAACCAAGTCTCCAACCAAAATGTGGCTCCACTTCTCACTATTTTCTCACTCACCTCTCTCTCTCTCTCTCTCTCTCTCTCTCTCTCTTTGTGTTTTAAATGTGTGGCTAATATTTAAATAAAAGGGGCAGGTTCTCATATACCATTTCAATGAGGGTAAGTAAATAGGGCAACAGTTGAAATTTTTCAGTCACAAGTTAATCGTTTGTTTTTCTACTGCCTGTGACTTCGATTTTCTTTCTTTCTTCTTGTTTGTTGTGTTTTTTGGTGGAACAAATTATGCACCAATTAGGCGTGAAGAAAAGCAGCAATCTTCTTCTGGGTTCTGGTTCTGCTGCCGAGGCAAACTCTGCAGGCAATGCCCAGCCTCTTTGCCCTAAGCCTCGAAGACCTGGCCCTGCTATGCATGAGTTCCTCAACCCTATATGATGTAACAAGCACAGGTTTCATCAGGGTTTTCTTGTTTTTGTCGGGTTGGTTTCAAAGGAAAGTGATTTTCGCTCTCCCCTTTCTTCCCATGGAATCCTCTCTTTTTTTTAGTCATTGGATTCAAAATATCGAAAGAGAATGAAGGGCGGAAACAAGGAGGGGAGTTCAAAAGGAGAAAACGAGAATGCGGAAATCACTGCCTACTTAAAATCATATGTTTGAAGATGTAACGGCTCCTTTGTGTTTATTTTTTGTGACCAGCCAAAAAAATTCCGACGAGAGAAGTGGGGTTCTGAATATGATCAGTGAAAAGGTTAGCATTCATGCTCCTTTATTGTTATTTTGCTTTTTCAACCATTGCCGTCTATCCTGTATGTTTAGTTGAGAATGCTTCTAAAATGGTTAAAAGTGTTTTTATCAATGCGTAATCAAAAAATTAAAAGTACTAAAATTTTAATAAAAATTCCAACGCGTTTTTAATAAATGTGTCTTTTAAAAAACGCTTATAAACAAAAGTACTTCTTACTTAAGCAATCCCAGTCATGCCCGAAATTTGAACACCATGATTTCATTCATGACCAAAATGAGTACTATCTTGTGTTTTTCGAATTCTAATCATGCATGAAATATATGATGGAAGGCAGAGGGGGCGCGAAAGGTGTAGTCGCACAAGGCCCCGAATTTGAAGGGGCTCCCAAAATTTTTGTTATCTAATCTAATATTTATATGTAATAATGTTTTATATTTAAAAATTGATTTTGTTATGCAATAATGTTCTATATTTAAAAATTGTTTTTGTTAGCATTATTTCATTGTGCACTCCTTATAAACATATTTTTTTTTCCTTTGTAACACCTTAAAAATGGTGTTCTTTTTTCAATTTTATTATATAATAATGTTATGTATACAAGTGAAACTTTAAAGTTAGAAATTTTTAAGTTTTTTTTTTCTTGTTTGGTTGTTTAATATTGAATTCCTTTTGATTATTTAGTGAACATTATATTTGTAGCTCTTTTTACTTATTATTAATGACATTTTTAAACTTGCAATCAATGAGTGCTAAACTTTGTTTTGATTTAGCGATTATTTTCTAGCGTCAATACATTGTCCTACCTTTTTTAAAACTATCTTAAGGAGGGGCCCTTTCATAAATTTCGTACAGTGTCTCCAAAATCTCAGAGACAGCCCTGATGGAAGGGAGTATGTGTGCACGAAATGCTCACCGGCATGCTACTCAGGCTCTCCACCAGGAAGAACACACAACCCTTTGGTTCATGATGTGCAGTTCCTTCATCAGATGGAGCTTCTCCCTCCACTTACAAGAACAAAGCTCTCAGATAAATTTAGTTTTAGTACAACCTCTGCCTCTCCAGTGTGACATATCCTCACAACAATTGTGTCCCCAATTTCTTGGAAGAAGAAGAATTGGAGGATTGGGTCCTGAAAAAATTTCAGGTTCATTTTTTTTGTAGTGTGTTAATTTTGTATAAGCTTGTAATTTTGTTGAGTTTAATTTTGTGAGTATCAAATTGTATATATTATGAGACTATTACACAAAATTTGTCTTGTATATATGATTTTGATAACAATAAAGGCCTCTACTTTCAATCTTTTGTTTGTGTGTGAGCATTTTTCTTATCATGGATTGAAATATGAGTATGATCGTAAACGAATTTTTATCCGATCATTTGGTGACTAATAAGTGGACTTATCTTAATTTAATATTGAGGGTTGAGATTAAAACATCACAAATATTTCTCCGCTTCTGACATCAAATCCAAATGTGAGTGATTGTAAATCTTTGATCAACATTTGACAAGAGAATGAGATTCTACATGTGAGCATAATCATTTTATGAATTTTGCCATTCTTCATCTTACAAAATGTTAGAAAATAAGTTCGAAAAAGATAATTTAATTACCCAGAGAATGAGATTCTATACATGCGATGTAAAGACGCTACGTGCGAGTGGGAAGGGGAGGAAGAGACCAGAGGGAGAATGACTAGGAAAGGGGTTGCCACTAGCGCTAAGCCGAAGCAAGAGGCCGATGGCCGAGAGGTATCAGATCTAGGGGTTTTCAGGCAAGAAGGGTTAGAAGGAGAGTAGGCTAAGAAGAGTTTTTTGTGTAGGTTGACTTGGCCACATGAAAACTTTATCTCTGAATAAAAATTGTTCAAGGGCACAAAATAGAAGAGTGATTGGTGGTGAAATTTTTTTTAGTCACAAGTCTCTTTAGTTTTTACTATGTATGGGTAACTTTTGAACGAAAATTTTGATTTTAAGTGATTGAAAACGAGTTTCACCACATGAGTACGATTAAAGATTAGTAGGAGAGTGATTGGTGGTAAAGCATTTGAGTCATAGCTAGGTCTCTTTCTACAAGTATAACCAATAGCCAAAAGACAAGTCATAACTTTATATCTTTCAATCATGTTGCCTTTTGTGTATATTTCGATGGGTTTTGGTTGAGGTGTCAATTGGACAAAGATGAAACTGAAATTTCGTATTGAGGAGATGGTGAAAGGTCGGTCTAATACTATTTGCTAGGTCAAAAGTTTGCAATGCTTTACTTTTCCTACGTTCTCAAGATCTCCTCTTGGCTTTTCAGATAGATTGGTGTGAAATTATTAACGTGGTCATTTGTTATTGGCTACTTGCATGCTAGAATTCTAAAGTAGAAAAATTCAACCACCTAGGTTAACATAATGGATTATCCGTAATAATATTGTTTAAACTCTGCCATACATGAGAATTGAACAAAAAAATTTCAACTTACAAATTGAGAGAAATATATCTAGACAATAGTACTAGATGACTCATACTGAACTAATCTAAATATACACAAATATTAAAGGTAAGTTTTCTTTTATTCGAGCGATATACTAAACTAATCTAAACTATAACTTTCAAAAGTGTTCTTCTTGAATTAGATGCTAAAGAACCAAGAGAATCAATCTTCATGTCAAAGGAAAGGAGAACGGGAAAAATGGGATCGTTGTGGAAGAGATACATAATTTTTCAAGTATTTTCGTTGCAATGAAGCTGCGGATTCGTAATATAGTGACACATTCGATGGTGAGGTGTGCACTTACATCGAATGAGTTTCTTCACCGGATTTTCTTCCCTTTGGGGTGTTTTATGGCAAGGTTTAACAATATCGTTGCACGTTTGTTTTATAAGATTTAAACTTTGCTACAAAAGAGAGGAGCACACCCACTCTGTTTGATTTAGCCACTCTAAAATCTGCAATAATAACAAAAGAGAAATTGAGTTAGTGATAATTAAATATTGATAATGGTTGATATAAAATCATTAATAACTATTTCTCCATAGTCGATGTCGGTGACATATTATTTTCTTCTTTTACCATGAGCATGTCAAGTTCCAATGTTTTGTATATAAGTAGGAATTATATCCTCTTGGACGAATGTTTGGAATTAAGGTAACCTGTCAAATGTTTTGTTCAATGTTTCATAGCTTGATTTTCGACAGGTGGCTTCGAAATGGCGTGTGATTAAATCAGATTCCAAACTATGACTTCAAAGTCAAGGTCGGAATAGGATCCTCTCCGGATCTATTTTATGGGAATCCTAGAAATCTCGATATCCTAACTATTCATCGTAAGATTTCCACATCCTAACTGTTTATCTTATATCGTGTGATTAGTTTTAGTCAGATACTATTTATGTTTAATTTTAAATAAAAAAAGTCAAATGATTTATGACCGTACGATGCACGATGAATGACTATGATATGATGATCCCTAAGATCCCTACAATTTGGATCTGAATGGGATCCAAATCCGTCAATGTCTTTAAAGAGATTCTCTAAAAGGGGAACTCTTCGTGAATTCTCTGTCACATCAGGTTTTTGACGTAATATTTAAGTATTTTATAGAGAAATACCAAGGAGACTTTTTTACAGTGGAATTTTCTATGGATTTTCTGGCACGTCACAGTTTAACGTCAATTTTCCTGTCAAATTATAAAACATTGTGCAAAAAAAATAAAAATAAACATGAGATGAGCGAGAGTCCATGGACAGTCTTATTTTTTAGAGTCTTCTTAACATTTCTCTGTTTCATAATGTTAACACAAAAATTAACGTCAATTGTGAGATAGTAGAGATTCCACAAGAGAGTCATACTTTGAGAACGTTGATTAGCATTATCTTCTTTTATATATTATTAATATAAAAATATTATTCTTATCATCTATTTGTATCATCATTTGTACCTTCTTTTCAATAGAAATGGAATCCGTATGTTTTAAAGATTTTGAACTTTATTAGAACGACAGTACAAATAGATGATAAGTGTACTGCTACTTTTATTAATCTTTTTGGCAAAGTGATGTCTGTCTTCTACCCAACCGACCCGCGTCTTAATCATTTACCTTCCCTTTCACACGCTTTAATTTCAGGGTTATTGTCTAATCACCCCTCAACTTTCATGCTATTCATTAACTTCCTAATCTTTTTCAAGCCATATAAAATATTGATTAAATTTTCTACCCTTATTTACTTTTTTTTTTTTTTTTTTTTTTTGCACACCTGTTAATTTATGTTTCTTTATTTTATTTAGACTTATCTAATTCGAAGGCAAAAAGTAAAGATGCATAGAGCGGAAAAAGAGGATGCGAAAATCATTTGTCATTTTTTATAGTATTTTATCACGTTTTTGTTTATTTAATTCGTTATATCAAATATACATCAATACATTTTAGTCAAACAATTTGCAAATTCTCCTAATATCTTTATAGTAAAGACATGCAAGATTGTGTTTTTATACTAGAAACATGCACAATCATTTTTTTTAAATGTTAATCACAACTTTCAAAGACATACAAGTAAATGAAAATTTAAGGAGACTTGCATAAACTCAATGTTAACTCAACAAATATATGCGAAAAAATCATAACTTCTTTTTTATCTGATGATATGCTAATCTAATCTAAATTATTGTGACAAAACTTAAACTTTAATATAGAAAATGGAGAATACTGCTAATTGTGAGATGGTAGAGAGTCATACTTTGAGAAGGTTGAATAACATTATCTTCTTTTATACATTATTAATATAAAAAATATTATTCTTACCATATATTTATATCATCATTTATACCATCTTCATAATAAAAATGAAATCCATATGTATTTGTGAATCCTAATTCTATTAGAACAACGGTACAAATAGATGGTAAATGTACTGCTATTTTTATTAATCTTTTTGGTAAAGTGATGTCTGTCTTTTACCCAACCGACCCGATTCTTAATCATTTACCTTCCCTTTCACACGCTTTAATTTCGGGGTTATTGTCTAATCACCCCTCAACTTTCATGCTATTCATTAACTTCCTAATTTTTTCAAGCCATATTGATTAAATTCTAGAAAAATGATTTCTACACTTATTTACTTTTTTTTTTACACACCTGTTAATTTATGTTTCTTTATATTAATTAGGCTTATCTAATTCGAATGCAAAAGGTAAAGATGCATAGAGCAGAAAAATGATGTACAAAAATTATTTCTCATTTTTTATAGTATTTTATCACATTTTAGTTTATTTAATTTGTTATATCAATTATATGTCAATGCATTTTAGTCAAACAATTTCCAAATTCTCCTAATATTTTTATAGTAGAAAAATGCACAATCATTTTTTTTAAATGTTGATGACAACTTTCAAAGAGACGCGTGTAAATGAAAATTTAAGGAGACTTGCATAAACTCAATGTTAACTCAACAAATAAATGCGAAAGAAATCATAACTTCTTTTTTATCGGATGACATGCTAATCTAATCTAAATTAACGTGAGAAAACTTAAACTTTAATATAGAACATGGAGAATACTGCTATAATCAATTTGGTTAAGCGCCCCAAATCTACATAGAAAAGACAAAATCTTGGGTGGGTATAATCTTAGGAGGGAGAGATTTTTCAATGTACTGGAAATACAACTAGTACACTGAATGTTTTAATACAAGTGTTTGAATGCTTAAAAAAAATTTCAACTACTTGTATTAGCGGACCATATTCCTGACACACTAAAAAAAATTATCGAAGAGAGAGGCTGTATGCAATTATAAGTAATTAATGCTAGTGAGCAAGTATATTAAATAGAGGTTAACGTTGGATCATGATACACAATTACAGCAAAAATATGGACATTTACAGCAAATTCTCAACTTTCATCTATCATCCCTACTTCCCAAAGTTTTCATAATTTGTGTAAAGAATTGGACCCACTTGCCGCGATTTCGTCAAACAGTGATCAAACTTAAACAACCACTCAAGCTTTCCCGGTTTTCCATCTCTCTCTCTCTCTCTCTCTCTCCAGCTGCTGACGTTGGTGTGTGAGAAAGCGTCGCCGCCCACCCAATATAAACCCACTTCCTCACATTTCTTCGTTTCTCACTCATGCCTGCAAACCCAATTCGCCAAAACATCTGTTTCTCTCTCTAGAATCGTCTCAGCCATGGCGGCTTGGATTTGCAGAGCTTCTTACAGTTCCTACGCCGCGCATCTCTTTCTCTCTTTTTTGGTATTGGGTTGGGCTTCTCGGACTTGTTTCGGGCTCGGGACGTACGGGTTCGATATCCACCACCGGTTCTCGGATCCCGTCAAGGCAATTCTGGGTTCCGATGAGCTGCCGGAGAAGGGTAGCGCCGAGTACTACGCCGCTATGGCCCACCGAGACCGATTGATTCGGGGCCGCCATCTCTCCACCACCGACGATCAAACGACGCCGCTTGCTTTCGAATACGGAAACATCACGTATCGGATTAGTGCATTTGGACAGTAAGGACTTTTCTCCTCTCATTTTTACCTTAAAGTTCATATATTTTTGGTGTTGAAATTGATGGGGTTTTTGTAATTGTTGAATTTTTCCTGCGTTCCTGAATTTTTACAGAAAACCCATTAATTTGTTTAAATTTTGCACAAAACCCAGATATTTGTTCCTTTGAATAAAATTATACAGGAAGTGTTTGAGTTTTTTGCTTTTTTTGGGTTGGAATTTCAGTCTGCATTATGCAAATGTATCTGTGGGGACGCCGAGCACATCATACCTTGTGGCATTGGACACGGGCAGCGATTTGCTCTGGTTGCCATGTGATTGCAGCAGCTGCGTCCGCGGCCTCCAACTCTCGAATGGACGTGTATGTGAACTGAATTATTATTTCCTTTGTTTGCCTTTTCTTGGATTTTACAGATTTGTGAATTTGATGCATTTTTTTTACTTCAAAATTGGTTGCTTGGAGTATTTGACTTGGCATACTTCGACCAGTTATGTCGGTTTGTGATAATTTCCATTAGTTGTGAAATTTGTTCTGGAATAAGTACTACAACTCTCGATTCAAGCATATAACTTTATCATCGTCTGTGTTGAGTGAATTGAATACTGTCGTGTGCCTTTAGGGTGATTGTTTCTTGATCATAAGGAATGCAAGTGTATTTGAACTTTAAGGGCCACAAAATAGTTTTGTTTTCTCGAAAAAGCTAAGGTTGCATTGTAAATTTGTAATGTTATTCATCAAAATTTAAATCCTGAGTTGCATCTTGTGGTTTCGAAAACTATCTACTTGGCATAGTTTTAGAAGGACGGACTAAGAGTGCTAGTGCATTTGGTCCCTATGTGGATCAATAGGGAAGATGCTCTTATGGTACTCAGTTTGTTGACAATTAACTCTTGAGCTCTTCTATCAACCAGGTAGTAGAATTTGAGATCTACAGCCCTAATACATCATCAACGAGCAAAAAGATTTCTTGCAACAACACATTTTGTTCACAATCCCAACGCTGTGCTTCAGCAAGTGATGATTGCAATTACAGGATCGAATATCTGTCTAATGAGACCTCATCTACTGGGGTCTTGGTAGAGGATGTTTTGCACCTATCTACCGACGATGCTCAACAAAAAGATGTACCTGCACGGATTGCCTTTGGGTGAGTTATTTTCTTCACTGCTTTACCACTAGAAAAATATAGGGTAGTCAACAAAAATTAGTGAGTATGCTGATTATATTATTCCTAAACATGCCAATTTTAATTGGTTAGCGCGCTTGTGATGTTTGTCTGCTACTCTATTGCAGTTGTGGTAAGGACCAGACTGGTATATTTTTGGACGGTGCGGCTCCCAATGGTCTGTTAGGGCTTGGTATGGATGATGTATCCATTCCTAGCATTTTAGCAGGACAGGGCCTTGCTTTGAATTCTTTTTCCATGTGTTTCGGACTTGACGGAATTGGGAGAATCAGATTTGGTGATGATGGAAGCCAAGGCCAACCAGAAACACCATTCAATCATGATAGCCAGTCATAGTAAGTGCTCCCCCTAAATATCCATATGCTGATGTCAAGTTTACTAGTTTCGCAAGTTAACTCCTTCTGTCTTTAATATCATCCCAGTTGTACTAATCTTTTCTTCTTCGAATGCATTACCAGTCCAACTTACAACATTACTATCGCTCAAATAGCCATCGGAAAAAGTGTTACCGATCTCGAATTCTATGCAATTTTTGACTCTGGTAGCTCATTTACATACCTAAACGATCCAGCTTACACGCAGATTACTGAGAGTGTGAGTCCTTCAGATTTGGTTCTTCATAATATTACCTTTTGTATCTTCTTTATTGTATAGTCTTTGTAACTATTTGTCATTTTTCAGTTCAACTCTGGGCTTAAAAATAGTCGGCATCCAAAGGATTCAGATATTCCTTTTGAATATTGTTATGACATAAGGTAAATTCTATCAGAACACAATACTTTGTATCAGTTTTCTCTTTCTGAGCCTTCAGGCATGACTTAACTTCGTTTTCAGTCCAAATCAATCGGTGAACTTCACATTTAAAGGTGGAAAGCAGTATTCTCTCCTCGATCCACTGGTAACCGTGTCCAATTCGGTAAGTTACCACTTTTAGTATTTCTTATATATCCTGCTCCTACACTGTCATGCTAAACCTTACCATTCCAATCTCCAGGATGAATCCACAGCGTTCTATTGCCTGGGCGTCGTCAAAAGTGGAGATGTTAATATCATTGGACGTGAGTATCTCTTTCTAAATATCTTTCATTATCTTGCAAAAAATTTCATATGCTTGATGTGTATGCAGATCATGTAATAGTTGATTTTAAAATCAGATTCATAAAACCATCGTAACAAATGGTTAAGGTGGTGCCTTAACCATCACCGGCATTCAAATGAATTTGTGCATGTTCAATGTTGCTTACAATGTGGATTTATTCCTGCAGAAAACTTCATGACGGGTTATCGCGTAATTTTTGACCGTGAGAAGATGGTATTGGGTTGGAAGGAATCCAATTGTGAGTCTTAATTCCACCATTTCAAATCAAATTTCGACAAAACATTTTTCTCGTGATTCTTTCAGTGACAATCGCGAGACATTTTTCTTTTCAGGTTACAACGATGAGGAAACCATCACTTTTCCGATCAGCCCATCGAAATCTCCGACTGCCTCCCCCAAGAGCGTCAACCCGGAGGCCACATCAGGGAGTACCAACACATCCAGCATACCGGGATCAAATCATTCACCAAAATTGAAGAACTCTTTCACAAGTGCAATCACCATTCTTCTTTTTGTATTTTTCGCTGTTGTGTGATTATTTCTTGCCATTCTGTAATATATCTAAAACTGAGAGGCATTTTGTTTTGGAGGTAGAATTTACACGGCGATTTTTGGTATATTATTCGTAGTTATAGCAACATGGCTTTGTACGTATGATTTTGGTTATGACTACTGACCACAGACCACAGACCACAGATAATAAACATCTTTTTTTTTTTGTTACAATAATAAATGATTTTTAGTTTTTGGTTTATTCTTTGGAATCAAGACCCATTCTAGATCTTGCAATCCAGAGACGATTGATTGAGAAATTTGGATCACTCATTTTAAATCCAAGCCCTTCATTAGTTCACCCTATTGGTTCCCTCACATAAACCGAGGGTTCAAATCTCTCGCCCTTTCTTGAACAGATCGGAATCGGATTACTTAGTCCGCCAACTCCGAACTGCGAGATCCGGAGTTGAATTGAACTCATTTCTTTGAACTATTCCAGAGATCTCAAGCACTAACTTGTTACTTAAAAATCGCGCTAACCACTCATTTTGATTCACTTCACAATTATCATTTTCAAAAATTCATCTCAAGTGAAAGTCATAACTAAAAGCATTCCGATCGAGCGAATTTTTGTAAACATTCTCTTTCAAGTTTCGATAATACGAAAAACAATCAGTTCAAATCATGAAATATTGTAAAACAAGATCAAAAAGTGGTTCACATCGTATTAAATTACTAACTGATTAGCACCTGATGACAAAAATAAGGGTTACGCCAAAAATAAAACTCGAACATTTTCTCATTTTTACTTTCCCAATGACAAAATTTTCCGACCCGAAAAAAGAATCGACAACAATATAACCAACTGCAGCTTAACTATCAGGGAGTTGACTAAGACGTCGAACGGACTTATCTTAATTCAACAATGCTTTCATTTTTGTTAACCCTTGGTCTTTTTCTGTTTCTTCGCCGGATGAGCCAAGCTTGGGTCCTCCTGCTTATCTTTCTTTTCCTTCTTCCCTTTGGACTGCAAATTTTCTTCGTTCTTTGGCATCTTACTTTGTAAGGGCTGGGCTTTCATCTTGATCGATTTAATTAACGATGATTTCTCCATCTTCGACGGTGAAACATCGGATTTCACTTCCTTTTCTGGCACTTCTCGGTCTGCCTTTGACTGTCTCAGTGCTACCTGCCGAGCATAAGCGGCACTCCTGCAAACACCAAACCACAAATACATATAACTAAAACAGTTGCGGCCGATTAATTAAGTGGCACATATTAGGGCATATATTCGAACCATCTTCTGATAACAAGTAAAAACTCGAGGGAAATACCTTTTGAACTGCGGATCTGTCGGATCCAGAGCAAAGCGAGATGAGGTGAAGAGTGCCGAAAACCGTGGATCTTCAAAATCAGCTGTTGGTATTTTGTCCTCTTCTAGAGCCTCTTTACCCTTCTTTCCCTTGGTCTTTTTACGTTTCAAATTGTAGCCCTTAGGCCCTGCATCTGCTCCGTTGTCATCAGCAAGTAATAGCTCGAGCTCATTTCTGCTTGCTTCAGCTTCCTTATCATCTTGCTGTCGCTTTTTATCTTTTTTACTTTTACCTTGAGATCCTTTTTTAGTTTTTTCGACTGCAGGCTCTTCCATAAAGAAATCATCTGGTCCATCTGCTGCCTCGTGATCACTGTCACTACTCTCATCCTCTGATGAGTCCTTCGATTTATTTTTCCTATTCTTCCTTTTCTCGCGTCTTTTTCTGAGATAGGACTCCCAAACTGTTTCTGATCCCTTATCTTTCTTTTCTAGGATGCGCTTGCTTATATCCTCTAAGCCAGTATTAAAAGTGATCTCCATATCCTGGTCATTGTCTTCACCGTCTCCTTCTGACGCATCTTCATCTCCTTCTCCTCCTTCTCCTTCTCCATTTCCAGACAGGAGTAAAGCACGGTACATATCTCGTTTTTTACTCTTTTTATCAGTCTTGTCCTCTGCAGCATCATCATTCTCCTCCTCATCACTTTCACTCTCATCAGAAGCCAAATACTCCTTCAGTTCCAATTCAGAAAGCTATAAGTAAACCAACGTCAGATTAGCTAGAAGTAAACTGTACAAGAAGAAGTTGGGTTTGTTTTTAACATAAGTTTATAGCAAATAGTTTTCAGTTGCCCTTTCCATCTACCTCATGATTTCTATTGTTTATTCAGATCACGGTGACAGAATGCCCATTCAGTCCTCAATAATGAAAGATATGAATGCATAGTGCTAGATATGAACTCTATTATTAACAAATGATGTAAAATGCAAGTAATGTTTACTTAGATAAAATTCTCCTACCTGATCATCAGTGAATTTCCGTTTCAAGGTCTTGCGTCCAGGCTCATCCTCATCCCAAGAAATATCAATTTTACTATGTTGCAGAGCTTGAGTCTGGAAATCCAAACCCCCGTAGCTTGCAGGTACCTGACAAAAGCCAAAGACTTCACAATCACTCCTCCATTTACGAGAAAATTCATTTTACTTCCTTTTTGTTTCACATTCCATAAAAGAAGCATAAAAATACATGATTTGCTCTCTATAAACGTATAAATGACTGGTTGAAACATATACCTCTGTCGCAACATCACGGGGTGGGTGTTTAAACTCCATCGAGTCAGGGATGAACCTTAAATCAAGTTTATTCGATGATCTTTCAAACTCAACTCCATCACAATTTTTGTAGAGGTAATCCGCTGTGGCAATTGAGTCACATTCAACAACAGCAAAATAATACCTGGAAATAAAGTTATATCCACAATCGATAAATGAAAACATACTTTAGAGACAAAAGATAAAATCATTATCACAAAATAACAACAATTAACCACCTTAGCCTGCTTTTCTCATAAGCCCGCATTTTCTGAGCAATAAGCTCCTCATCATCATCGTCGGCGTCATCATCTTCATCACTTTTCTCATTTTCATCATCAAATAGGCCAACAGGACCACGAAGTTCTTCCTCTTTCATACGCTGGAGTCCAAACTCAGACGGATAGACAGTTACAGACTTCATTTCTCCACCTTTCGGAAGAAATGACCTCAACACTGCATACAAGTCAACAGCCTACACGAAGCACAATGGAACTCTCAGTTACTGATAAATCCCTACAAAAGGAGGAGCTTATAGACAAATTAACAGTCCGAAACTCCAAACGCTATCTCGAACATCTAATACAAAGTATGCAGTCCAAAAATTACACTATTTTACAAGAATAAACTTACTGCTCAAATTTAATCGAAAAATCAAACAATCTCCAGACCCAATGGCACAAAAATAACAAAATTTGTTACCCTTACAATGTGTCACTTAAATAAGTATAAATGAATTCAATCATGAGCTTGAAAATGCATACCTTCACATGCCTCCAATCCAGATTAACAATTGCAAGTCTGTGAGTCTCCTTCTCAATTTCCGGTATATCTTCCGCCTGCTCGTAAATTTAATCAATTAACCAAAACGTAGCAACATTTTCTTCCAAATTACGACTAACTAAGGCTTAAATTATACTCACAAAAACAATTAACAAAAACTACCTCAATTCCAGGTGCGCCGTCCTCCAAAACCACCTCCTCATCTTCATATCCATCATCGGTGTCGGTATCTGTATCCGTCGTCGTCTCCGAGCCACCACTCGCCACGTCATCCTCCGATTCCTCTCCGCCGAGCTCCTCCACCTCCTCACTCTCTTCCTCCTCCTCTTCCTTTTCCTTGTCCTCTTTCGATTTGGCCTTTCCTCCGTCTTCCGTTTTGGACTTTACCTTATCTCCGTCGTCGTCCTTCTCCATCCTGTAGTACTGCCGCAGCGAGTTGCCCTCCTCGAGCTTCTTCGGCTTGCCTCGCTTGTCCAGCGGCGCCGATGACGAGCTGAATCGCTTGTCCGTAAACATCCGGTCGAACCGCGAGTCGATCTCGACCTTCGCCTTGTGCTTGGGAACGTTCTGGAACCTAGGGTCCCAGTGCACGGACGAGAACCGAGGATCGGCGATTATGTTCTCATCGTCGCCCTTGGATTCTTTGAGCTTTTTTTTGTTTTTCTTGTTCTTCCCCATGGTGGCGGCGTAGATGGTTGTTGTTCGGCGGTTGAATGTGGCGCGGGTCACGGCGGGTGTGGGATTTCAGTGGCGGTCTGGTGAAGGGGGCTTAAGCTTTAACGTTACTCCTCCTCCTAGGGTTTAAGTTTAAAAGAAAAAAGGTAAAATAAAAGAAATTTTCAGCAGAATTGTGGTGGACTATGACGAGGCCCACTGGAAATTGAAAGCCCAACTTGAAATTCTACTTAAAAGAATCCAAGTTGAATGATGGTCCTCTTCAAGAATTTGGGCTTTTAGTCTATCTTAACCCAAATTGAGAAGCTAGGTCGTATCATCGCACGTCCTGAGGTGTTTATGTCACGTGATAGTGTTGAGTTTTAAAAATTTCAAATTGAGGCAAGTTAGAGGGTGATATGTACGTGTTGTATGGGTTAGCCTATATCGTTACTATCTAGACGGATGTCAAAAGTCGTTAAGCAATAAAATGTGTTTGGCAAATTGGTCGGAAAAATTTGATCATCCACAAAATAGATACCATATACGTATTTACAATCATTGCATTTAATTCTAGTAGAACGTATTAAGGGCTTTTGAAGCTATGTGTGTGTTTTGTTTATAGAGTCAATGAGTCTGCTTTTTTTTTTCACTCATGAGTAGTGATTCATATTGAAATTTAGACAGCGACAATAACATAAATAAGTTGAAGTTTGATGGAACCTACAACTATTTCTTCATAACCGAAAATCTATGAAGAAATAGTTTCCAACTTTATAAAGAAACATTTGCTGGTGCCACCTGCCACATATGCATCTGAGCTCGAAACTCTACATCACTTAAATTATTATAATAGTTTTAAACCATCCCACTCCTCCCCTTAATAACAATAAATTTATAAAAAAAAATAAAAAATAAAGTTGCCAGTGCCACCAACTTTAACTTATTTATGATACGGCCATCACCGAAACTTCATAAATATAACTAATTTGAATGGTATTATATTATAATCCCATCTCGTTTGGCTGAAGCTGTTGGGATTTCAAATTGACCATTCCAAGTACCAAACTTATAATCCAGTCAAATCTAACCCAGTGCAATCAAAGCTAATTTATCCATTATTTTTTTAATTTCCCTCTTGCTAAAATTAGGTTCAATTATTTTTTGAATTTCCCATTTGCTAAAATTAGGTTAGGTAAGCGGTCCAATACGTCACGTAAATTATCCAGAATTATTTCAGAATAATTAGAAAGAATTGAGAGACAAGGTTGTTGGGATGGACTGAAGTTATTTTATTATGTCTCAAACATAACTAATAAAGCTGTAGACGTTGATTTCAAGCTAATTGACTCCCTCAGAATTAACAACTTTTGATGTCTCAACCCTAACCACTTCATAGTTGACACATCTTTTTTTTTTTTATTAAATCAACACAATGATTGGATTTTAGTTTGTTTCGCGTAACCCGGGTTTTCTTAAACTAAAAACAAACCCAAAGTATGTACTAGATGATTCTGAATCAACCCAAAAACTCGAAATACGTGGTAGAACGAAGTTATGAGGTGGAGATGAAAACTAATGAGTTGAGTAGCAGGGAAGAACTGTGTTGATGGAGCATGATGATGCATGCATAAGCTTTAAAAGAAATGAAATAAATAAAATTAGAACCACCGTGGGATCGTCCAGTGGTTGAGGACAACTTTCAAGCTCGTATTTCACACGATACATCCTGTGTTTGATTTTTGGCACTAGTGAATCAAATGATGATGACCAGAGAGACTAAAATGTCTATGTGAGTCTCTCAGTCTAAAAACAAACCACTAGCTGGTCTCTTTTTTAAAAGAAAAAAATTTAAAATAAAATTAGGAGTACCTACCATACCCTGCAGAAGGGTTTTATTTGGTTATTAAATTGGAGAATATTTTTTGTAATTGTTGGATTGCGGAATCTTCTCTTTCTATTTGGTCTTGAGAATCTTTTGGTTTTTGTTTTTTATGTATTAAACCATCATAATTAACTCCTTGAATTAAAAGTAAATAATCATGCGCCATGCTTGATCATTAACACCTTGAAAATCAATAAAAATTATCGAGTTCACTTTATAGGATGATGGAAATTTGATTAGTAAAAACAAACAATCATGTTTTACGGTATTCTTTGATCAATGGGAGACATAGATTCAAACGTGGGATGTTTTTGAACATTTAAACAGAGGTTTAAATGTGCAAAAGAAAAAATTGATATCTTATGGTCCCCATTAACCCATTTACTGGTTCACCTCACACAAACTAAGAGTCTTGATCTTTCTCTCTCTCTCTCTCTTGAACGGTCCAAATTACTTTGTTCGTCAACTCTGAACTACGAGATCCGGAGAAGATGTGAATTCCAAAAGAAAGATGTGATGGCAATTGTCTTGTAGTAAGGTGCCTTTGCCTTCATAATTACTTCTCAACATCCTTTCTTAACTAATTCATTCCTTAGGGCCACCATCATATTAGTAACAGCCTCTGCCTCTCTCCCTCACCCCCCCCCCTCTCTCTCTCTCTCTCTCTCTCCCTCTCCCTCTCTATAAGTACAACACTAATCCATTTTCATTTCCCACACTTAAACAAAGTTAAGAGAGTTGAGCAAGAGAGTTCTAAACCTCAAAAAATGGCTTTCAATCTAGCATTCTTGAGCTCAATCTTCATCATCCTTTCGGTATTTTCTGCAGTGACTAACGCGCTAAGCTCGAATTACTACGACAAGAGCTGTCCCAATGTCGATCAAATCGTTTCTAATGCCGTCAAGAAGGCGACATCCAACGACAGAACTGTCCCGGCTGCTCTACTCCGGATGCACTTCCACGACTGCTTCATTAGGGTACATACATATTTTTCGGTACAACTTGTTTTTGACAGTTGAAACACATTGGTTGGTTAATTAAGTTAACCCAAAGTGTTTGTTTTGTTTGCAGGGCTGTGATGCATCTGTGCTGTTGAACTCCAAAGGAGGCAACAAAGCTGAGAAAGATGGGCCACCAAATATTTCTCTGCATTCGTTTTATGTCATTGACGATGCAAAGAAACAAGTGGAGGCTTCCTGCCCTGGTGTCGTTTCATGTGCTGATATCTTGGCTTTGGCAGCAAGGGATGCTGTTGTGCAAGTAAGCTTTTCGAAACAGAATCGCTTGTAAGCGTTTAATAAAAATGGAACTACCGGACACACTAGCCGTATATAAACTACGGTTTAGTGCTCCTCCAGTTGTATTTTTTATCGGAAGTTTAAAACCGGTTTCTGTTTGTTCATATTTCCCGAAAGTAAAACAATAAAGGTGTAAAATTTTATACCACTTACTGAATGTGTTATCAATGTTACAGTCCGGAGGTCCGAACTGGGCTGTGCCGAAAGGAAGAAAGGATGGAAGAACATCGAAGGCTAGCGAGACCGTGCAGCTGCCGGCTCCAACCTTCAACATATCTCAACTGCAGCAGAGCTTCTCGCAGAGAGGTCTGTCCTTGAACGACCTGGTGGCTCTTTCAGGTAAAACAACCAAAATTTCAATTGTTATTTCGTATCTGTAATTTATCGAAGAAGAAACAAAAGAGAGTAACTTCCGATGCATCTGCAGGAGGGCACACTCTAGGGTTCTCCCACTGCTCATCGTTCCAAAACAGAATCCACAGCTTCAACGCCACACACGACGTTGATCCAACACTGAACCCGTCCTTTGCTGCAAAGTTGAAGAATACGTGTCCCATCAAGAACAGGCCAAAGAATGCCGGTGCCACCATGGATCCTTCTACAACAACCTTTGATAATACATACTTCAAGTTGATCCTCCAAGGGAAGAGCTTGTTTTCTTCGGATCAAGCTCTGCTCAGTTTTCCGAAGACTAAAGGTTTGGTTACTAAGTTTGCCTCCTCAAAACAAGCGTTCTTAGATGCTTTCGTGAATTCTATGATAAAGATGAGCAGCATTAATGGTGGGCAAGAGATCAGGAAGGACTGCAGGGTAGTAAATTAATCAAGGGCCAGCAAGCTAAATTGCAGTCGATCCTAAAAACATGAGAACCGGGAAATCAATTAAATAGGTGGTTCTCTATCATTTCCTTTCGTGTTTTGAGAGATTTGAGATAGAAATTGTTTGTGTGTGCTGTGTTTCATAATGTTTGAAAGGATCTTGTTACAACAAAATCCTACAATAAATTGTAACAAAAATCCTACTACAAATATGAAGTATTCAGTTGAAGGGCAACGACGTTTTCTTGTTTGAAACTTAAGGTAAACTCCCAACAATGCATGAAACCGGTGCATATCAACCCTTTTCAGTAACGAATATGAACAGACGATGCTCATTACAGTATGCTTGTATAGGTCAAGCGGATTAATCAACTTACAATGCAAGCTAGAGTTGCAGAATTACCACAAACTCCCAAAATGCTAATGCAATTCCGTTGTATCAGCCCATTCACTATCCACAACGATCTCTGCCAGTTGAAGGTTGCCACTTAGCCCGGATGCCTTGTACGATGGCATAAACGAAAAGGCGTCAAGAAGCTTCGCGCACTTCAATCCCCATTTGACCATCAAGAATTCAATAAGACGATGCCCGCTGCATATTACAAGAAGTGCTTTCAAAGACATAAAAGTGAAAAAGAGGACCATTTACAACGCTATCTGCATACTCTAAGCACACATGTTACAAAGTTAAAACAGCATTAGAAGCACATGCAGGTTAAATACCTTCGATTATGGTATGTTGTTATGAAGACTGACCCCGGAGAATTTTGGAGCAGAAATGTCACGGTGGCAAAGAGGTCATCAAAGGCTTACCGAGGAGAATAAAATCCGGTTTTAGCTTAAGTTCAGTAACAGAGAGTTGAGGAAAAAAACCGATCGCAAAACACAAAAACCAAAGTCGATAAAAATCCTACCACTAGCATCATACAATACATCAGCGCCGAGAATGAATTTCGGGTTTAAGCTGAATGTTGATGCATCCCAAGCTCCCCACGTCAATCCCATTACCTGAAAATTACAAGTGAGATAAAATTAACATCATCTAATTAGGTTATGCGCAAATAAGAATCCGCAATTAGCCCGTTGATGGCGATTACATTGCCCTCGAGTTTATTAAGGTCAAGCAATCTTCTCATGTTGTTCAGCACCTGCAGATTCAAAACAACAACTCCGTTAACCGCTAACTATAGCCGTTAAAAACCGAGACATTTCTTGGAGATCAAATAACAAAGTCGGGTCTAATTAACTAAATTAGTACAGAAAACGAAGATTCTTTATCAATTTGAAGGTTCAATCGAGATAAATACAGGCAGTTCATATCAATAATCATACTTCGGAAGTAAAAAATTAACGGTAAACAGAAATTAACACAGGAGTTTTAAGCGCAAATGGAAACACTACGCACCATAAAGTTTTCCAAGTGCCGATTTTCTGGCAAAAATGGGATGTTAAACTCATTAAAAACCGAAAATTTCCACTAACCGTTCGTTCAAAGCTATTTGATCTAGTTTTTGGTCAATTTAACACACTTTCGAGCGTAATCCTTCTCAACCATCGTAAAAAGTACACCGAGCTTTTAAGCAAATTAAAAATTAGACACTTATTAGCAAACAATCAAAATTTAAAAGCCAATGCGATTGGAATTTGAATACCTCCAATCTACTCGAATCATCAGCGAGTGTGACGTCAGCACCAACTTCGGCGGCAACCAAACCGGGCAAGGAAGTTCCAGCGCCAAGCTGCAAACTAACCCAGAAATGATTGATTAATTAATTACTAAAACAAGAATAAGATTAAACCTGGACAAGGATTAACACCGACGTTACTACCTCGACTACGCCCGCGCCGGAGAAGCGCAATCTCTGTTGCCAAAAATACTCCGCCAGTACCAAGCTGCAGGGCCACACGAACAACCCGTACTCTTCCTTCACGTTCTCGATGATGGAGATGGAGAAGGCCGGCTCGTCCGAGTTGTCCCCGAAACGGTGACGCGACACCGTCGTCATATCGGCCGTTTCGGCCGAGTCATTTCCTTCCGTAACTCGCTGCTGCAACGAAGTGGGCCTACTAAATCCCTACAGGCCCAACAGAAAAGGCCCAATTAAATTTATCCAGAACAACCGAAAACCAAAACCAATTTTTAAAGTCGATTTTTGATAGAGCTATCTCGAAGCAAGCAGCCCCAGAACATTCTCCGTCTTCTTCTTCCTCACTCTTTTGCTCCACTGAGTGAACTCGCCTAACTCGCTAACTCAGAGCTCGCCCAGCCCTCCCATGGCATTTGCTCACTACCCAACATCCATTCGCCTCCAAGCCTCAAAGCACCCAAAGACTTCGATTCTGAAACCACCACCTCCTTCTCCTTCCTTTTCCTCTCTTACTCTTCCCCTCAAACCTCGCAACCTCTCCTTATTTTCAAGGCCCCGAATTCCGGGGCATAAAGGTAATTACACTTCTCCACCGTCGGCGCAGGCGGAGCCGCAGGGGCCTCGGGCGAGTTCAGCTGCGGACGCCTTCACTAACTTCAAGCATCTGCTGCTGCCCATCACCGACGGGAACCCATATCTCTCCGAGGGCACAAGACAGGTAATTTTCGCATTCGATTTTTACCCGGGTAAATTTCGTGACTGCCACTGTGTGAGGATCCAGGTAAAAAGTTTGATTTTTTATTTTTGCAGGCTATAGCTACGGTTGCTGCGTTGGCGAAGAAGTATGGGTCTGACATTACGGTTGTGGGTACGTTTACTGATGAAATTTTACGGTGTCGAAACCAAGCGTTATAGATAGAGCATTTTTTTTTACTGTACAGACCCTTTTGGAATTGATTCAGAAATGTAGTGTAGGAATATAGAACTTTGTGTTGTTTTGCAGTGATCGATGATCAGCAGAAGGAGTCGTTGCCGGAACACGAAACCCAGCTTTCGACTATCCGTTGGCATCTCTCCGAAGGTTTGTGTACTGTCTTGTGTGGAATTGGGAAGGTTTAACTTTGAATATTTGTCGTACATGAGGAGTATATGAGGAAAGGGAATCTTAATTGTCAGGGATGATTGATTGGTAGAGAACAAAAACATAGATACTATATGATTGTGTAGATATCGTTATGTCGATTGAGTTTTCATTGGTGAATTGCAATAAGATGGATTTTTTTCACAAGTTGATGTGATTATGCTTCTGATGGAATCAAAACAAGCACAGGGCAGAATGACAATGAAAAGGAGTCATATTTCATTACGGAAAAACAAAAAAAGAGGTGCTTTTCTAGTTGATAATTCTTTGGCATTACTGAAACCGCATTTTATTCGACCTTGAGTACCAGAGTCGTTCTAAAATGACTTGAGTCGCTCACCGTAGAATCTATATTTAGTGATGAGTTGAGGATCGTGATACTGAATGTGAAGTTGTTTCGAAAGTGGCCAAAAGTTAGTAAATTATGATAAAATTTGATGGTTGAAGGGGGTTCAAGTACTAGGAAAGGGTTGAAGCATCAATGGTTGGTTAAATTTGGTTATTTTTGTCAAAAAAGCTTGAAAGTGGAAGATGAGGATCTGGGAAAGTGGGCATTGTAGATGGCTCCAACATGCATTATTATGTTGTAAGAATATTGTATCGGTTTGCTGACCAAGTTTACTACTTAACAGAATAGGGTGTGTGAGATTATGTATAGTTACATATTTACACTTGTATGACAATTTTGGTTGTTTATTTACTTACTAATTTTCTGTAAGCACATAACAACATATTTGGCACTAACATTATTTTTAACCGTTATAATTACTGATAGGTGGGTTCCAAGAATACAAGCTGTTAGAGCGACTCGGGGAAGGGAATAAGCCAACAGCCATCATCGGCGAGGTTGCTGATGACCTGAATTTGGATTTAGTTGTTATAAGCATGGAAGCTATTCACTCCAAGCATATTGATGCAAACCTGCTTGCTGAGTTCATTCCTTGCCCTGTCATCCTTTTGCCGTTATAATTTGCCATTTCAACTGTAAAGTAATCACTTCAAACTCAAGCTCCTTTCTAGTTTACAATGCCAGTTTCTTGTGACCGGATTCTATGACCTTTTATTTTTGTTTTCCAAGAAAAATCAATACAGAATTGAATTTTTTGCTCTTAGGAATCGCGGATCATTGTTATTTGTCTTGTTTAGGTATGCTTATTTTTATTCACCTTACAATACAAATATAGAAGACAGTAGCTATATTTGTATTCACCTTACCATACAAGTACAGAAGACAGTAGCTAAGGTATTTGTGTTTTTTTTCGAATTAGATTAGCTTGAAATTACAGGATCTGTCCTTGTTGCGAACAAGTGCTTTTCGAGTCCTAAGAATGTAACAAAATAGGCCAAGCGGAGTGCTTTTGACTTGCTTCACCTAAATTTGTCCTTGATATTTGAGGATTTGATTTGAATTTGTCTAGTCTACTTGAAATGACCCTAAGAAAAACGATAGGAACTCCCAAGGGATACACATCTCTTTGTCTCTCCCTTCGCATGATTAGTGATATGCGATGAGAGAGGTTTACACATCATGTGATGGGTAAGTTTTCTCGATAAGAACAGCCACTTCCCCACAGGTAATAGTGAGAGTAATAGGTGGGTAAATACGCAAAGGGAGAAGCCGGCAGGACAACATACATCATGCTACTCTGTTTAGGTGGCGGGGTTGCTGCGGAAAAATCCCAAGCCTTTAGTAGCTGATGCCCTTAGAACATACTGGTGATAGGCACCTGCTAGCAGAGCTCCAATAAATGGTCCAACCCAAAATATCCATTGCTTGACACCATTAAAGTTTAGAGGTCATAAAACACACACACACAGTGGTGCTTGACGGACTTGCCTGCACTGAGTGGGTGGCTCCTAGCCGCTGATGCATATGTGGCCACCCACCCGCGTGCTCTACGACGAATATTAATAAATGTGCACTTATATACATTTCAACTGGGTTTAGTCGAGGCTAAGGTAACCATACCTGGTCATCCCAGACTTTGTCATTGTTGTAGATTACAGCAGCAGCAAAGCTCCGTGCAGGGTTGATGCCGGTGCCGGTAATGGGGATGGTGGCCAAGTGCACCATAAATACCGCAAACCCTATTGGTAAGAGCGCCAACACCTAAAAACCAAACCAACCATCAAGGCTCAAAACTCAATAATTTTGTTAGGGCATAAATTTTTAACGTATATCTTTTAGCTTTCTACACTCCGTCTGAGCGTTGAAAAAATGTATAAAATATTTTGTTTGCAGTGCAAGTGACTAAAAGAACGGCTCGCTATCCTTTTAACCGTAGTACCACACAACGCCATTGATAAGGTGCATTCCTGTTTGGAAAATACAAGGGTCACTCACGCCCGCATATCTTTTGACTATGAATGCATATGAAACTGTTATGGCACTTACATGCATCTATGATCGAAAATCACTTATCATGGCGGGCAATTGATCATAAAAATAAACATTACACGTGAGAATCCCAATGGCATTAACTTTATGGTGAAGCAAATTGAAGTCATTGCTCACAGGCACGTGGGAGCCGCGTGCGCAGATCTTGGGGTCGGTGGCTGAGAAGACGGTGTAAAGTGTAAACCAGCAGAAAAGTACCAACGATCTCAGCTCCCAAAGCAGTGCCTTTGGAGTAATCATGTGCCCCTGAGTTGGCGCCACCGCCATGCGTGTAGTAGAAATGCTTCATCAAAGTTTTCACTAACCCGACGCCGCAAATGCCTCCCAAGCATTGCGCAACCGTGTACGCCGCCGCCCGAGCCAACGACACTTTCCTCGCTACCAGCAGCCCAAAAGTCACGGCCGGATTGACGTGCCCACCTGAGCAAGATATGTTAAAAAGTGTGTAAACGTTAATTTATTGTAATTTTTCTATATGACTGTCATGTTATTCGTGTAATTTTACAACATGATATATTAAATATGTCGTTCTCTTATTGTAACATGTGAATTAGTAACTCTATATAGTGCTATGGCCATCACATAAAAAGTAACCCCTTCATATCGCATCACTCGTTAAAAACGTGAACTCACTTTTATACATTTTGTTTTATGCAACTGATCTTGAGAGAGAGAAGAATCGAACTCGAGACCTCGACTGCAAGGGTGAATGCTCATGACAAACTAAGCTATAAACTCATTGCTACTGATTTAATCATTTACTTATCATTATTCTGCCAGCTTGGTAACATAATAAGTCGAATAAGAAAGTATGTTTTTACAAATGACTTGTAGTTCAAGTAGATAAAAGTATGTGTATTTGCATTCGAGAATCAATTCCATACCCCTAAGAATATGTGTATTTATAATGGACTCTGATATTTTTTATTTTACCAGAGATTCCGGCTGTGCAGTAAACCAGGACGAAGATCATGCCGCGGAAGGCCGACGCCGTCGCACTGGTTTGCTTGCTTCTTGTGACCGATGACGGTGGCAACTGTGACGTAGAGGAAGAGAAGCGTGGCAACAAACTCTGCTATCACAGCTCTGAAGAACGGCCAGCTTTTGAGCTCTTCCATGTCCAAGAGAGGAACCAGTGGTGGCTCTACGTAGTCCTTAGACATTTCTTCTTCTCCTCTCTCTTGCTCTCTGGTTTCTAACTTTCTATTTCCTCGGGGTTAAAGATGGAGATTTTATAAGGATTATAAATAAAGGTTGAAGTGGATTTAAATCCTTGGCATAACGTGTGTAGTACATTGTTGATCAGAAAGTATGGTATTTTATATCATGAGACCATGTGACATTTTCATTGAGAGTTTGTTGTCTAATCGATTTTTTTTTTTTTTTTTTTTTTTTTTTTTTTGGCGTAGCATGTTATTCATTTATGTATTATAAATTATCCAAATGAAGAACTCAGATATTACGATTGCTAGGATTCTTTTCAATATCCGAGAGTTAGCTATAGAAGTGGAGGCCATCAAGCATGCTCTTATGCCTCGAGCTTGCAATAGGGTGGCTCACTCGTTGACTTCGTTTGTAAAAATGAGGGACCATTATAGATGGGGTTTCTCTTTTCCGAATTTCTGTTGAATATTTTTGCTGAGTAATTCAATAAAAATTTATCTATTGACAAAGAATATTATTAAATAATAAAAACATAGTATTAATGAGTAAGCACACATCGTAATATTAATCAAGTGATAACATGACATGTGTAGATGTTACAGTCACATCAAACTAATAATAATAATAAGTCTCAAAAGGAAAAAAAAATAACAATAAGTCACCATCTCGGGTATTGTAAGTAACTGATAACATATCCTTCTCATGAAAACTAATGAAAATGACTTGAAAACTTTGAGTTTTAACAAAGATGTAATGTAAGTGAATAGTATCATGATTGACTTTTTAGAGTAAAAATGTAATTTTTCGTTAAAGTGAACAATACCGAAATCTTTTTGTTAAAGTTCCCTTTCTTCTCTTCCCTCTTGCTCTCTGGCTTCTAACTTTCTATTTCCTTGGAGAAAGAAGGAGACTTTTAGGGATTATAAGCAAAGGTTGAAGTGGATTTAATTACATGGCATAACGTGTATAATACATTCTTCATCACAAAGTATGGTATTGTATACCATGAGACCATGTGACATTTTCATTGAGAGTTTGTTCTCTAATCGAAAGTGTTTTTTTGCGTAGAGTGTTATTTACTTACGTATTATAAAAAACATGAACGAAAGACCTAGATATTACAATTGCTAGCATTCTTTTTGATACCCGAGAGTTAGCTGTCCAAGTGGAGTCCATTGAGTATGCTTTTATGCCTCGAGGCTGCAATAGGGTGGCTTACTCGATGACTTCGTTTGTAAACAAATTGGGATGCAAACATTGATGGGGCTTCTCTTTTCCAAATTTTTGTTGAATATTTTTTATGAGGATGTAAACATTGATATTCGTCTTTTATTCAATAAAAATTTATCTATTGACAAAAGGAATATTATAAATAATAAAAGCATAGCATTAATGAGCAAGCATACATCGTAATATTAATAAACTGATAACATGACACGTGGAGATATTACGGTCACATCAAACTAATGACAATAATAAGTTTCAAAAGGAAAAAAGAAAATAATAAGTCACCATTTTGGTCAATGAATTGAAGTCATATAATCATATGAAATATGTAATTTGGTCAGCCTATGGTGACACGTTCGATATGTCGAGTTCGTCCAAGAGTAATTCGAGCCCAATTAACAAATCAGTTCAGTCTCAATTTGAATTTAATAAAATTTATCATAATTTTAAAAATTGATACATTTTAACGCAACAAATTATGATTAGAATTTTAAATTTTCTTACAGGTTGTAGATTGCCGGAGCATGATACAAATATCGATTGCCACCCCCACGGGCATCATCCTCTTAAATTAGGAAGATAAAAAAGTGAAGATATGTTACCAATTTTTGAGATATAATTGAGATGCACTCCCAAAAGCAACCTCTATATTCCATTCCATGATGCATTCACGCCACACGGCGCACTCCTATTGGATCGCAAAGTAACTTCTACGTGGAATGGTAGGATTAAGAAGATTCCGACTCTCTTCTACTAAGATCATCGGATTAAGTGATTCGGGTTTTTGAAATTCCATCCAACAGTCAAAAGTTTTTAAAAAGTAAAAACAGGTGAATCGTTAAATAAAATTTCAAAGATTCAAATCACTTAATATAATAATCTTGATGAAAAAGATTCAGAAATAATCTCTTCCCGAATAAGAATGTTGGTAAATAGTAAAAGTAGATTCAGTGGTCGCAGTTGTATTTACATACTGAATCCCATGCCCCTCCCAGCGGGTACGCCATAGGGATATTTTTGTAATCTCACGTAATCTAAAACCTGCGCATCCAGGAAATCCCAATAGCGCAGCTGCGAAGAAAGGCACTATAACCGAGAAGAAACAAAACAAACACACCACCCCAAAAGAGAGAAAATCTCCAGAGAGCCCTCTCTTGCTCCTCCTCCCCATTCTCTCTCCTCTCCCTTCCTCCGCTCTCTGTCTCTCTCCGGTCTGCGATCCCGATCGCCCCCAAATCTTTGGAAACCCTAATTTCTGAACTCGCATTGCTCAGAAATTTTCGATCACTCTCTATTTTATTATTCCGCTTTTTGCCCCTCGTCGTTGATCAAGAAACTTGTCGACGCCGCTCTCGCAAACCCTAGCGTTTTTGTTTGGTTATTGTTATGGCTGCGATTAACGCCGCGAACAAGGGTACCAACACTGAAACGGCGCCGTCTGCGACCGTGCAGTCGCCGCGTAACGTCGGCAAGAGTGTCAGCAGCCCGACCCAATCGCGGCGCGCCACTAGGGCTGTCTCGTCTCCTTGGACTCAAATCGTTCGGGGCGAATCTGAGTTGATTGCGGCCGTTGCTTCGTCGCCATCGGCGGCTGTGACTGAGCCAGTTGTCGCCGCCGCGGCGCCTCCGTCCCTTCCTTCCTCTTCTTCGGCTAATCAGACTCAGTCTAACTCGTCTTCTCAGTCGAATTCGGCTTCTCCTCCACCGGTGGAGGAGTCGGTGGGTGAGAGCTCAGAGAACGGCAATGCGGGTAAGAGGCCAGCTTGGAACAAGCCTTCTAATGGGGCCGTCGAGGTTGGGTCTGTAATGGGAGCTGTGTCTTGGCCTGCCTTGTCTGAGTCGGCTCGGGCTTCTACCAAATCGTCTTCTGAATCTCCCAAAGGTGTATCAGAACCCTCGTTGTTATCTGTCTCCCAATCGCAGGTTTCTTTCTTGAATCTTTTGCTATTGTTTGGTTGCTGAGAAAGTTGGGAACTGAATCAAACTATGTGCAACACTTGGGTTTTTTCTGATATGCTAATTTTTCATTGAAATTTACCATAATCAAGAAATGCACCATTAGCTCTCTGCATTCGAATGGTGGTATGCTGATAAATTTTGGGTAGATGCATAATCTTTTTTAATAAAAAGAAAACTTTTGGGTAAATGGATAATCAAAAGATTCTTATGCATTGAGAAAGCGAAGGAAAATAAGTGGAAGGAAATTTGAAGAGTTGGTTCTGATTGTTTGAGACATGAAGAAATAAAATTTGATTAGAAATGATTCACCTTGTTGGAGTCTAACAATGTAGGGCGATGATGGCATACGGTTTTTGTATTCTTACATGTTCAATGTGCTGGATTTTATGTGTTGTATGTGCATATGTACATTTATATTACTTGCTGTGCTTTGATGTAGGGGACTGGAACCACACCTACCTCATCACCGAAACAAGGGAATCCTTCTACTCCAAACCATACTGGACCTCCTCGCCAAAGATCGTTGAAACGAAATAATTCAAATGCATCCTCTAATGGCGGTGCCTCCCAGCATCAATCATCTGCTGGTCAGGGTGTTGAACTGCCTTCAAATAACCCATCTCCCAAGGAGCATACCCCTAGGAATGCATTTGGGTCACAATCTCACAGCAATAATGATCATCCGCAGCAACGTAACTCCTTCAGGGGCCGAAATGGTGGTTCACATCCTCGTGGAGAAGGTTCTCATCATAACTATAGGCGGGATCAGGACCGTGGAAATCAAGATTGGAACACTCATCGAAATTTTAACAATAGAGACAACCACATGCATTCTCCAAGAGGTGTTCCTAGGATGATGAGGCCTCACCAAACACCACCTCCACCACCACCTAATGCTGCCCAATTTATTCACCAACCGCAGATGAGGGCTTTTGGTGGTCCTATAGGGTTTGGTAAACATTTAGGCATATTCAAATAGAACTTGTATGTGTTTTCCATGCGACTTTATCCTAATGTGTTTCCTTTTTCAGATATGCAACCTCATCAACTGGTATATGTTACACATGCACCACATGAACCACTTGTACCTTTTGTTGCACCTCTGAGACATCCCATGATGTTTCCTGCTCCAGATCCTCACCTGCATACTAAGATCATAAACCAGATAGATTATTATTTCAGGTGCTCCTTTCATGTTTGTTTGTTTGTTTACGTAAGAACATTAATCATCATTTCCCTTTTAATTTGTTTGATAGTCTAACTGCTTTTGTCCCTTCAAACTCATTTATTGCAGTAATGACAATTTAATTAAAGATACATACTTGAGGCGGAACATGGATGACCAGGGATGGGTTCGTATTAAATTAATAGTAGGCTTCAAAAAAGTGAGTTTTTGGGAAACTTTTCTCTGTGGATTTCAGTTATTGTGGTGATGATCTGGTCTTTTGTTGTGTATACAGGTGTGTGTTTGTGAGTATCCATGCGTACAGGTTTATTCTATATGTTCAAGATTAACTTGTATTTTATGTTTTTAACTTGCAATTCTTGGTGATGTGTAAGTTATGTTTGTCATTGGGATTTGTCAATTGAGCACCTTGAATTATACATTTAAAGAATGTAAATGAATGAACAACAAATAAATAAAAACAAAGTATAGAAGCACATTAAGGAAAATTACTTATGGTTACCAAGAATAATAGCACTTTGTTTGCTATTCTGTGGTGCTCTGTGGCATGCTATTCTGTGTTTTTTTTTTTTTGTTGTTACATCGACATGGGATAATACGTACATGTTTTGAAGTAAGGAATTATTAATGTTAAAGACTGAAAATACGCTATAGGCTATCAAGCAAATGTTGATATTGCAGAAGACCCATTTTGTGGTAGATCATAGGGAGATACCTTAGGACGAAATGTGGGTTTATGTATTTGATAAAGCAGGAGCATATCTAAGGTTAAAATTTGCTATACTATATTGCCTCCTCAATGGGGTTCTGTTCTTATATCTTGGCCCCACTTTCTTGACCGACAACATTCAGCTTGTAATGGATGCTATGAGAATGTCAATGTTTTAATTTCTGATTTCCTTTTCAGGTTATGAGTTTGACAGACAACATTCAGCTTATACTGGATGCTATGAGAATGTCAACTGTTGTGGAAGTACAGGTAATTCAAGATTCCATAATTTAACGTTTGGTGTAATCATGTAATAGAAAAAATGCTGTTGCATTGCTATTTTATTATTTATTCTCCTCCAAATTTTCATTTCCAGCACTAGCCCCGTAATATACAGTTAAAAGTGTTATGTGTTTTATGTTATATAACATTCTGATAAGATGAC